CGAGGCACTGGGACCAGGCAAGCCGTTATTCGACTGAGGTCCAACTGGGACTCTATGTAATAAGTTAACGCGAGGCACCGACGAAAGCTGTTCCATCTTCTTCTGCCTCAGCTCTAGAGCCCTTCGACGATTTTCAGCCATTCGATGAAGTTGTTCTTCCGAGAGTACCATCACCGAGAAACGTAGACAATGAATATTCTATAATTCAACTTTGTAAACAAACAGCAAAATAAATATAAATAAACATAAACAGACAATCCGAATGAATACGTTCCACCTCATGTTAAATAGTCTGCCCTTCTCCGATCGCCTCTTCTTAAGCCAGACAAACTTGGCACCCCGAATGCAACAGTCCGCTTGGCCGAAGACTCATTTTCTGAGTGACTGTAAAACTGCTTGTCATAGAGAGATGACAAAGCACAAGGTTAAAAAATAATTACTGATTTAATATAATATACTTTGCAACATGTCCACCGGTAGACACGATTGCTTTTTGTATTTCTCCGCGTACGTCCTTCGTCATTTGTAGATTTATTTTATTTTTAAATGGGTGCGTTCCAGATGAAACAGCTGGACATCGTTTATTCGCTGTAATTTGAGTTACACCTCGTGCGGTCTGTTTCGCCTACTGTTCGTTAAACTGATGCTGTATGAGAAATGTATCGAACCCCATGGTGTCGCCAGTAACTAAGGTAACTCTGGATTTACAACGATAATAATTCCAAAGCTGCAGGTCGAATGCTAGTACTCGAAAAATTATATTCGAGATATCGAAATACTGCCGCTTTGTTGCTAGATGTCAATAGCTACAGAAAGCTGTAACACTATCACCGCCAGTACTGTTCGATTTACTGCTGGATGAAAGCCACTCAGAGACATTGCCATAAACTCTGTTTTCTACGATGCAGATTGATCTTGATCTAATGAACTTCATCAGCTCATCCTGCCACTTACAAGCCGTTTACGCACTCTTGGAACCCAGTCTAACGTCCCTCTGGTCTACAGCGATGGTTGGTTCTTCTTGCAACGTGTCCTGGACATTACCACTTTTAGTTCGTTAATCAGACAGCAACATCGGGGACTCCTGTTTGCATTTTTCCATTCCTTCATTCTATTTACAGCATGTTCCTTCTATGCTGCCTTGCAAGTCTACAATACATTAAAGGGTTGCAGACTCAGAGTCCCAATTTTGGATTAACATTTTGGTGCTGGGAGAATATACTGATCGAGTGAATTTAGTTTCAAGCACAAGGGCAGTTTCCCAGTAAAACATTTTTATGTTCCAGATGTGCTCAATGACTCTTTTACTTTTCGCTGATTTAACAGTGTCGGTTTTCAGTGGCAGAGATGAGTTTTCCAAGGTAAACGTCATTTGGCATTTCTTCAAGACTAAGTTCTTTCATTTTAAC